TCTGGAACTATACTGATGAATAGAGGTTTTTTTCTTTTTTCTTTTTTTTTAATTAAACTAAATTTAGTTTTCTTTGAGGGTTTCTGATAATGCTACATTGTGAACATACAAAGGGTACAAAACGAATTTTTTTCCAGAATATTGCAAAGGATGGTGCCAGTCTATCATTGTCTACAAAGCATCTTCGCATACTGTTACTGTAGGTCATTTTGTCTCTTAATTAAAGTAAAACACCATTATGTCCGTAGTTTTGGCCTGTACTGAAATGAGGGGAAAGAGGGTCCCCTAGAGGGTTTTCTAACTTGTGACAGAAGTCCTCAAATATGCTTAGCTCCTCTTCAAATTGGCTTCAAGCTAAAGATTTCTGAACTACCTATAAATAAATCCATTTTTCGTTCAGGAAACCATCATCATTTTACATTGCATCTGACTATAATTTCAATTAATTAAAAACTAAAATATTTTGAATGAAATGCATCAAACTGCACCTCTGTAAAAGTGATCATGTTTTAATTATGGCTAAAGTGAGAGTGAATTAGAAAAATTAAGTCTAAATTCATTTTTAGAAAAATTTTGAGAACTTCACAATGGGAACTAATGAAAAAATTTTATGTACATTATGATCATTAACTGACTAATAAATGTTAATTGTAATGGTAAAGCAAAAACAGTAAAATCATCCATTTCCTATCATCAGTTGCAGTATTGTCTGTGGGGATAATTATCATAAGTGAAGAAATAAGGTATGATCACTGTATTGGACACCCAGGAACATTAGGAAGTTGGATTTTAGAATGATTTAATCATCTTTTTCCTCCCTGTCATCTTCAGCTTCTTTTTCCCTCTTCTCTTCCTTCCCAAAGACTGTCTTCTTCCTCTTGTTTAACATAATTGCCACCATCTTCATCCTGAATTTTTTTCTTTTATTTAACATGAGAGTCCCACTTCTTCTTCTCCCTCTTTCAATTCCAAGCCTGCTTCATCCTCATCCTCCTTTGTTTCCTCGTATATGATATCCTTCACGTAGACCAACTTCCTCTTCATCATCTTATCCGTCCTCATCATCTTCTTCTGAGTCTGCAATTTCCTTATCTTCCCAATCAAATCTACCTGAATATACGATTTCCTGGAGCAGTTAAAATATAGTCTCTCATATACTTTAAGGCCTATCCGGTCAAGTTTATGTTCCTACATGTCCCTTGTTGTTAGTTCATCCTCTGGAGCCTGGTCAGCCTATCTAGTGTCACTTCCTAAAAAAAAAAATGCATAAAAATTCAATAAAAAATTTATATTCTTAAAAAAAGGAGAGAGAGAGAGAACTGAAAATGGAGTCTAAGGAGTAGGGAATCTAACTTGACTGTTTCTCCCTCCTTTTCCAAACGAGAGAGAGAGAGAGAGAGAGAGGAGAGAGCGAGAGAGAAAACCACAGTTCTTTCTCTTTGAATGTTGCTCAGACCCTGCCTGCATTCTTTTTTTCTTCTTTTTTCAGCAATGTTTATTGCACAATTCCATTTTAAGTGTCATCAGGGTGCCTGTCATCAAGAACCTCCGCCACCACCATTGCCACTTCTATATTTATTTATTTATAATTTGTGGTAAAATATGATACAGTGCTTGTTCAAATTATTTGTAAAAACAGAGGAAAAAGATATAAGGTTAGGAGTCATCATATTAATGAGGTGCACCAATCTTGTGACATTTGTGTTTGCCATGTTTTAGACAAATAAGGTTTCCAGGTTATCAGCTAGCTGACTTTCCTCTGAACATGATATTTTACTGCATTTTGCTTACTTTGGATGTCTGCATAACAAAATCATACATCAAACTATATAAACTACTAATGTAATATACAGTTATATGTGTAAATAATAAAACTGTATAAGTAAGCTGTAAATTTACAATGCACTAGTGAGCTAGGAACTTCCTGAGTTAAGGTAGGTAATGTGTGAAAAGAACATATTCTGGGGTTTTTTTGAGATATAGTCTACATATTAGAGTTCTTGGATTCAAATTTTAGCAATTCTTGGATTCAAATTCTTGGAATCAAATTTTAGCAATTCACTGTGTTGTTCATGAATATTTTTAAATTTAGTGCTTATATATTTTTGTAATATAAGAATACATCTTTCTTCTCATGTATTTTTAAACTTGAAACACCATACTATACAAACATTTTGAATATTTATAAAATTCACCTTTGGGGACTTACATTTGTCTAAAGAAGTTTCTTTTAGTTGTGATACTTATACTTGCACATCTTTCGGCTTGTAAATCCTGTTCCTTTTGTTTCAAGTAAGTTAGAGTGAGTTTAAAATTCCCACTGTCATGTGAAGTAAATGTGAGCATCACAGATTCTAGAATAATTTATTGAAAAATAATTTAAAAAGTAAAATGGCAAAATGGGAACAGATAGCTAGTTCTGGATATTCTAATCACTAGCCATTGGGTAATGGAAGAATAATATATTTTGAGATCATGAAGAATTGACTTTGAATCTTTGTCAATTGCTGCGAAGATATCTTTCCCCAAGGCTATCATTTTTGGTCCTCTGTTTTTCGTTGTATGATTGGAAAAGTAGCACCTACAAAAAGAGCTAAAATATATAGAGAATATGTAATGCAGAACTCAGCATATGTTATCTTTATTTACAGCATTATGGCAATATTAATGTTGAGTCTATACATTGCATAAACACTGAAAATTGGACAATTTATGTGGTTTTCAAGAGCACATTATAGAAAATTGGCAAAAATAAATCTTACACTACTTTGCACAAAAGTAGTTCATTTAATATTTTCATTTACTCATTTATTTTGTTTAATTCTTACTAGATTAGTGTGTTTTAGTATTTTATCATATGATACACATTTTAGAATATAAAGTTTGGTAATCACATTATAAAATGCAATATTTCTTATTGTGTGTTTTCAGAGAAACCATGATTCAGGGTAATTATCCTAAGATAATTATTATAAATTACTTGTATAAAAGAATGTATTTTATAATTAAATCCTAAGTGCCAACCTTTTGTATTACCTTTATTAATAACTTTTTTCTGTTTATAAAAGTAATACATATTCATTGTATAAAATTTGGTGGGTAGAAAAAAATATAAAGAAGAAAATGACTACCATAAATTAATGACAAACCAAAAGTTTGCATTACGTAAAAATGTTACAATCTTTAGTAGAAAATTGTTCTTATGAGTCAGTTAAAAAAGACAAACACCCCAATATAAAAATAGGTAAGGATAAGGCAGGATAAAATCTATCAAAATGACATAGTAATTATAGAAATCCAATTGAAACAGCAATCACTTACCTTTTATTAATTTTCAGATTAGTAAAGACTATAAAAGATGCAAACTGGGCGTTTTAGGACAACAGCATTTTCTTTGTTGGAGAGCCCTTAGAAAATTTTATCTTCAAAGGGCTGGAGAAATGGCTCAGTGTTTAAGATCACTACTGCTCTTCCAGAGGACCTGGGTTCAATTCCCAGCACCTATGTTGGACAGCTCACAGCAGCCTGTAACTCCAACACTGGATTCATGTGCACAACCCACCCCCATATATATTTAAAAGACAAAAAAATCAAGAAAAAATATTGACTGAAGCAGTGTCCCTTCCAGTACTGCATTCCAATGAACTGCCAACATAAAGATGCATTGGAAATGAAGTATAGTGCAGTAGTTTATAATAGACTATTTCTAAAAATAATAGGAATACTAGTATGAAATTAATGATTTTATGATATATATGTGTACAACAGAAGTTATTAAGCCTGAAGATTGCAGATGCACAATCAATTATTAATGCATTGAGCATTTTCTAATTGAAGAGCCTACCTTTTTAGTGCACTTTCATTTTTGTGCTATTATAAATAAATATAGAATATCATTCACTATAAACTTTGTCTACATCTGTGATTATGTTTATTCTACTGATTAGCATGTATTCTTTATACATAATAATGGGCTGCATTATGATATTTTCATATATGTATATAAAGTATTTTGATCATATCACTCCCCCATTACTCTCTCTTGTTCCCCTCCCACTTGCTGGTCCCCTTTCTCTTCACACATAATTACTTTTCTACTTTCATTCTCTCTCTCTCTCTCTCTCTCATATATATAATTTTTTTTGATGACTCAGTAAGTTTTATTTGGGTTACTTACCAAGTCTTAGTTGAGGGATTATTTACAGGAGCACAGGCTAAGTAAGTATGCCCCTAACGAAATTCCCTTCACTAGTGACCATTAACTGCCAATATAGCATTAAGGATGGGTAATGTCTTGTGAACCCTGCTCCCTAGCTATGATTGTCTGCCTATATATAACCTGGGTGAGTGGGTGAGCTCAAGTTTATATAGGGGGTGACCAACCACTCTCTCATCAAACACAAGTACAATTCCACAAGAAGGTATCAACTACTGTAAACTCGTGCAAAAATTTCATTGCTGAAAAGGTTGTAGGCCCTAGTGGGAAATCTACTGCTACTATTTGCTAAATAAACATGATGTTCCTATTAAATTTCTGACTAAATAACTATGTTTATACCCATACGTCAGTGCTCCCATCACCTTTGGTTAAAGAAGCTCCTTTTTCTGCAGTGGGCAGTGGGAAATACAGAGACACATAATGCATCAAAGTGTAATTACATTTTAGGATATACTCTTAGAAATGTATTTCTAGAAATGGCTCCAAAGATATGAATGATTTTAGAATTCTTAAACATTAAACATTTCTAGATTTCTTGATACATATTAATTGGATGGATGTTGTGGCAGAGAGGCTCAATAATACTTTATTCTGAAAGTTCCTATACTCTTATTGAGGACTTAATCTTCTTTGCTTTTGTATGTTAGTTACTTTCTCTTGTATTTTTTCCTTTTCCCTTTTGTAGGGTTTATTTCTATGAAAGAATATAATGTATTACTTAGAAATAGATTTTTCTAAGTTTGTTTTAATTTTTTCATAACATCATTTTTTATCCTTTCAGACGTGGGTTGGCAATAAGCGAAGAAAAATGAGTAGTAAGAACTCTGAATCAGGAGCAACAGGACCCATTTCTGGGACTTCATTGGCAGCTCCAGACATTACAGTCAGAAATGTGGTTAATATTGCTCGGCCTTCAACTCAACAGCCTTCTTGGACTTCTGCCAATAATGATGTCATTGTAACTGGTATATACAGTCCAGCAAGCTCATCTAGTAAGCAAGGAACAACAAAACATACAAATACACAAATTACAGAAGCAAATAAAATTCCTATCCAGAAAGCAGCCAGTAAAAATGACACTGAATTTCAATTGCACATTCCTGTTCAAAGACAAGTAGCACACTGTAAAAATGCTTCTGTGCTCCTAGGGGAAAAGACAATTATTTTGTCAAGACAGACAAGCGTACTTAATGCTGGAAACTCAGTGTACAATCACACAAAGAAAAGCTACGGAAGCTCTTCGGTACAAGCTTCTGAAGTGACAGTACCTCAAAAGCCATCTGTGTGCCACCGACCTTGCAAAATTGAGCCAGTTAGAATTCAAAGATCATATAAACCTGAACATACAGGTCTGGCATCACATAACTTATGTGGGCAAAAGCCAACCATTAGAGACCCTTACTGTAGAACACAAAACTTGGAAATCCGGGAAGTGTTTTCACTGGCAGTCAGTGATTACCCTCAAAGAATTCTGGGAGTAAATACTGCACACAAGCCTAGCTCAGCAGAAGGAACTTGTTTTTCCATTGCAATGGAGACTGGAGATGCTGAAGATGAATATGCCAGAGAGGAAGAGCTGGCATCGATGGGCGCACAGATAACAAGCTACTCAAAATTTTATGAAAGTGGCAATTCCCTTCGAGCTGAGAACCAAAGTACAGTTTTGCTCGGGACAGGAAGAAATCTACAGAATTCACAAATGGTGAATATTAGAGATTTGTCAGACAATGTACTGTATCAGAACAGAGACTACCATTTGATACCACGGACCTCATTACACACAGCATCTACTACTATGTACAGTAATACAAATCCATCACGAAATAATTTTTCTCCACATTTTGCGTCATCAAACCAATTGAGGTTATCACAAAACCAAAACAATTACCAGGTAAGGTGTAAAGTTATTTTATAAAAATTTTTAAAAGCATGTTTGATTGAAAAACTATGTTTGTATCCAGTTAGATTAGGGCCTTGGTCACAACTCATATTTTGAAACAATTTGAAACTGGTTGAAAAGGGTAGACTGAGGTCAACTCCTTGAAGAATGCTGTGTTTAAAAATAATGAGATTTAAAAATTTTTTTTATTATTCTTATTTTATGTGTATGAGTGCATTGCCTGCATGTATGTGAGTGCACCCGTGTCGTGCAATGCCTCGGAGCTCAGAAGACATCTTCGGATTCCCCTGGAACTGGAGTTAAGGACGGTTTGTAGCCACCATGTGGGTGCTGGGAATCGAACCCGGGTCCTCTGCAAGAGCAGTCAGTACTCTTACCCTTTGAGCCATCTCTCCAGCCCGAAGAGATTTTTTTTTTTAAGTAGAATATAGTCACTTAACGCCATGGCAACTTATACCTCACATTTAAAATTGTTTTGTTCAAGAAATGGCAGCTTCATAGGAAGCATAACATTTCCTGCGTCCTAAGTAAGATTAAACAGTCTAAGTACCCACTTCCTTCCTTGGACACATAGGTAAGCAAGTCAATCATCACACTAGATGTCAATGGCTAAGAGCTTAGTACCTGTAGTAACTCAGCCACCTGATTTTTTTCTAAAAGTAAATGCTTGATTAATCTGAACATTAATCACAAATCTTATAAAATGTTTATATGGAAAAGACATTCAGAGGAACAGTTTAAAAAACTTTAGACCTGGGAACAAACTGATACTATTTCTTTACTGTTTCATATATTCAGTTGTTTAGGTGTGGTTCAAATAATCTCTTTAACTGTGCACTGTAGGCCTAACTCAGAATATCTTTTGATATCTTCTCTCTAAAAGATATGATTTAGAAATCTGAGTAAGAGAGCATGAATGTTTGCCATTTTTCCCCTTGCTACTAGATAGACTTCTTTATTCCTTTAGGAAAGATCTTTTCAAAATGTTCTCAAGCAATTTAATGTGGGCGTCAGTAATTACACCAACATTACAAGTACCCTGAACAAAATAAAAGCCTGACTCTTAAAATGTTTTTAAGAGTGACCCTGAACTTGGAAGACACTAGTTCCCCTAGCTATCTATTATAACTGTCTCCCAGAACTGTACAACGGATCTCTCTTGTCCCTGAACCCGTGCAGATGGATCTGACTGTCTCCTCACCCTGTGCTGTTGGAGTTGGAGCTGACTCTGGAATGCTGTTTCTCCCACTGTGTATCCAGGTCAAAACACACACACATACACACACACACACACACACACACACACGTAATTATTGAAAATTATGGTTTCTTCAGCTTTATAGGGGAAGTACAAGTTTAAGTTCAGGTCCACCTTTATCCCAAGAGACCGGCCAGCCTTTTCATCCCTAGTATCTCATTCATCAAAGGTCACCCATTCCTAAACTCCACAGTGTCCAATGGGTGGATACACGGATTTCAGCGCTTTGATATGTTAATTCCCAAACATACTCACATTCATTCATTATTTTGGGGGGTGGAATACCAAATTGAGGTTGCCAGGGAGATGCCCCAGTCATCAGACCCAAGAGCATGGTTTTGCTGGGGTTAATTAAAAGTCATTAGTCCAGATTATGTCCATTAATTAAAGTCATTCCTACAATTTAAAACACCATCTTCTCCTAATGCTCTGTGACTTCCAGCTTTATACGTCAAAGTGGAAAGCAATAGCTGATTGTAATGGTATATGCCTGTAATCACCACAAGCTCCTGGCATCAGCTTAATCTACATAGCAAGTACCAAGCCAGCCAGAGCTACACAGTGAGGCACTGTCTCAAACAAATAAAAAAAACAGCAACAACAACAACAACAAAACCCAAAAGCAGGGAAGGAAGGAAGGAAGGAAGGAAGGAAGGAAGGAAGGAAGGAAGGAAGGAAGGAAAAGAAAGAATGGAGAGAGGGAAAAAGAAGAAAATTTGAAAAGCAGTTATGCAGCAGTAAAAGAAGTACCCCTCTGGCAGCCGGCCCTAACAGAAGAGGTAGTCAGTCGTTATGACCAGTAGTTACTTTTTTTTTGAATGTTAATTCATTTTTCTGTTTTTGTTCTTTACCAAAAAGCATATTTAAGTAAAATTGAATTGTACCATTAATACCCTCCACAATTTTCCTGTCTTCATTTTTTACTGTTTTAGTGTTCTCCTTTTTATTGATTTTTCTTTCACAGAGACTTGATATGTACCCCTGGCTGGACTGGAGCTGTCTATGTAGCTAAGGCTGACCTCAGATTTGTTATCCTCCTGCCTCTGCCTCCTGAGTTCTAAATCATATTGAATTAATCATATGTAATTTGTTACAGGAATATGCCACCATTCCTGGAAGTGATGTTGGTTTTTAAAATATGTTTTTGATTCTTTGAGAATTTTATGCAATGTACTTTGATCCTATTTAGATCCCCCCATCTCCCCCACTACCCTATTACCTATTACCCCCTTTCTGACTTCATGTCATCTATTTAAAATTTTTTAAAATTTATTTTAGTTTTGTATCTATGAGTGTTATGCCTGCCTGTGTGTAAGTGCATCCATGTCATCTACTATTTTAAGGCCTTTTGAGTCTAATTTGTGTCCCCAAATGCTCTTCAGTGTGGAACCTGGTCAACCTACCCAGCATCACATCCTTAAAGAAAACTGTCTTTCACTTTCCCAGCAGTTATCAGTTGTCAATAGGGCCCAGGCTAGGGTTGGGGCACCATTCCCACCTCCCCCATCCATGCTGGGTTTTTTTTCTGGTGTGAGCTTACATGGGATCTGTGCATGCTCTCACAACTGCTGTGAGTTCACATGAATAACTGTCTGGAAAATATAGTAGTGTTTTCCTTATTGTCATCCACCCCTTTGGCTCTTACAATCTTTCTGTCTCTTCTTCCACAATGATACTCAAGCTTTGTGAGGAGATGGTATAATGTAGGTGTCCCATTTAGGGTTGAATACTGCAGTCTCTTATTCTCTGCTCTTTGACCAGTTGTGGGTTTCTGTGTCAAATCACCATCTGTTGCATAAGGAAACTTCTCTGGTGAGAGTTGAGAGATGCATTAATCTATGCGTAGAACAATAACTCCTTAGAGGTTTTAATACTATGCCTGTCTAGCCAAGCAGTAGTAATGTGCTCTCCTCTATGGTTTATGAACTGTCCAGCCACAGGTTCCTAAGCCTGATAACAGTGCCAGAGTGTTGCTCCAGCTTGTAAAGCAGACCTTAAATCCAATCAGAAATTGGTTGGTCACTCCCAATATCATGTGTGCCACTATTTTTCCTGTGGGCATATCTTGCCAGGCCAGTCATTATTGTAGCTTGCAGGTTTCACAGTTGGATATGGATGATGATTAGTTTTCTTTTCCAGTAGCATGCATAGCACCATGAAAACTGGCCAGTAGAGATGAAAGTTTGAGGTTAGTACTAGTTTATTTGTTCTGTGACTCATACATGTAGTGTCTTCAGCAATAGAATCTTACCATCAATCTCTGGTGGGTAACTAACTCAAGTAGTGGTTTGTTTGTTTGTTTGCTTTGTTGTTTTGTTTTTATTGATTTTTTGTGTATTTCATGCAAAACATCTCAAACAATCTTAATCATCTTTATACCCCAATCTCCTTGACACCCTCCTATACCCCCCACCACTGGAGCCAATATATATGCTCTGCCATCAGCATAAAGAAGTCCCATGCAAACTCAGGCAGACAGTAACCCAACATCGAACTGGGAAAATTAATGGTAGTGTTTTTAATAGTGATAATGATAATGCCATTTGTTGAAGGCCTTCCAAATGTCACAGGCCATCCTGGGATGCAAAATTAGACCCTATCTAAAAATAAACCCAAATAAACAAACAAATAATCTTTTCATACACTTGAACTCATAATTGTAAAGTTAATGAACTCCAGGCTGGAGAGATGGCTTAGTGGTTAAGAAAACCGGCTTTTCTTGCAGAAGACCCAGGTTCGAATCCAAGCACCCACATGGCAGCTAACAACTGTAACTCCAGTTCCAGGGGATCAGACAGCCTCTTCTGTCCTCTGTGGGCATTGCATGACATAGGTGCACTTACCTACATGAAGGCAGTAAAAACATAAGCATAAAAATAATAAACAAAAAAATTTTTTTAAGTTAGCAAACTCAGCTATATACTTTTTTCTGGTCTTTTTGAGACAAGGTCTCCTTGCACAGCTGGCCTGTATTTTCTGTGGAGACCAGGCTAGCCTGAAACTCACAGAGATCTGCCTGCCTCTGCCTCCCCAGTGCTGGGATTAAAGGGGTGCACCACCATATTGAGATCAGCTGATAGTGAAATTCTTTGGAACCTACCATTATCACTATGTAGTTGAAGAAAAAACTATTTAGTATTGACTGAGAGGAGACTGGATGTTAGCTGTTATCCACACCAGAAATATTAAAAGCTTGTGGTCCTACTCTTATTATATCAGATCTCTGCAAGCAAACTTTATAAAAGAGAAAATGGTGTAGATGTTTCAGGGATACATTGGGACATCACTTTGTTCCAACTTCCTTTTAGTTAGATAATATTTGGGAAAGCCAGGCAACCTGATAAAGTAAGGTCCAGAGAGGTTTGGCTCCCGGGTTCTGATGAAGCTGTATTACTAACTCTTGGATTAGAACTGAATAGAACCTATGGGACATGTAGACAGCTTCTCTGCCTATGAAATTATAAGTAAATAAGCAATTCTCTTAATTTTTTGATCTTGGGAATATGTGACTGAGATAGCTCCCTTTGCTCTCTGATTCACCAGTTATCTGTAAGATAAGGCCTTATTTCTGGGGGATAGTGTAGTTGCAAGCTATCTAGAAGAATTAGTATAAATTGAGGACACTTTAGAGAATATTAAGAAGTTGATCTGGACATGGTAGTGCACACTTGTAATTTCAGCACTTAGAAGGCTGAAGCAGAATGATTGATATAAGTTCAAGGCCTGCATAGTG